TAACACGTATTCGCCCTATAAATGCTCACTTTCTTCATTGTTTTGTCATTCTGTGATCACTTCCGCTTTTTAGTATTATTCCGCGAACTCAGATAGTACAATTCATAATTTCTGGACAGCCTTAACGTGTGCTAGAGGTGAAGCGTTGCTAGCTACAAACGGGGTTCAAACTTCAGGGCTCTGTTCGGTAGGCACCCAGTCAGACTGGAGCCACTCGTACTGGAGAACCCAACATCCAGCTTCATAGCGTCGGGGTTTCCAGAGCGAGTGGGGCCCAGTCTGACTGGGCTCCTACCGAACAGAGCTCGATCTACAGTCTCATTCTTGGCATCTTGCTCGAGCCCAAACTGTACACCAACTGCCCGAACTGCACTTTCCTGCCCTGCCCGGTGCAAGGGTTGCCAACCTCGAGAACAAGGCAAAAAAAAAAAAAAAATCCTAGAAGGTGCTGAGGTTGGGCAAGATGTTTGAGTAGGAGTGCGATTTGTTTTTAACAGACCAATAGAGTCTACTAGCAAGAATTACCCGTTCGAGCGCCAGTCAGAGTGGAGGTAGCCAGTATGAGTGGAGACGGTGATGTCGTGATAGTAGGTATACTGAGGAGCCATAGCTAGGGTTGACCTAGCTAGGCAAGAGAGAATGAAGGCAAAAGAGAGCTGAACTAGCAAGAATGGGGATACAAATAGCAAACCCTAGAAGGGTTGTACTCGCTACAGAGCACCCCACTACAGGCTAGAGCATAATATTCTGACACACCCCCATAGCCAAAGTGGGGTGTAATCAGCAGAGGAAACAAAGCAGTACAAGCTCAGGGTGGATCACGATGTCACCACTCATTCTGAGCACAAGCAAGAAGCAATAGTTTAAGGTTCACAATTATGGGTAAAGCTAAAGCTGTCACAGAGGGCAAGCGAGGAGGAGGAGGGCTGGTGAGATGAGAGAAGAGTGGAGGCGACGACTGAAGCTGCAGACACTCGGGCAACAGACGGCTCTGGTGCAACGCTGGTGGCTACCGGGAGGAGAAAGGCCCCGGAATACAGGAGTAACAGGCTCTGCAACTGATCAGCCAGCGACAGTAGCAACGGACCCACGGGCGACAGGTGCAACCGGCTCTCTGAGCTACCGGGAGGAGAAAGGCCCCGGAATACAGGTGCTGCGGACGACACGACGGCAACCTCCGCTCAACCTCCTCCAACTGCCCCACACACCCCTCGACACACACCCCCTGCTGAACCCTAGCTCCACTCCCACGGCACCCCCCTTAAACCCCAAACCCTAGGCTCCCACACACCACCCCCCTCAGCGGCAGCTGTAGCAGAGGGAGACGAGGGAGGAGGAGGAGCAGGGAACGGCACACTGAAGCTGCACCCCCATACCCCCCACCCCAAACCCTAATCCAGGAGAACGGGCAGAAGGAGGGGTGGGGCGCCTTCAGAAGCACGGGGGACAGCGGGGAGGACAGGGGAAGCGAAGAACGGGCCGCCCACGGGCCTGGCACCGCCTCCCGAACCGCGCGCAGGCGGTCCGAGCCGCGCGCGGGCCTGGCGCAGCCCGTACGGGCCGCGCGCGTGCCTGGCGCAGCCCGTACGGGCCGCGCGCGGGCCTGGCGCAGCCCGTACGGGCCGCGCGCGGGCCTGGCGCAGCCCGTACGGGCCGCGCGCGGGCCTGGCGCAGCCCGTACGGGCCGCGTGCCGGGTGTACGGGCCGCGTGCAGGCCACGACGGGCGACGGGGGGCGACGCGCGGGTCCCCGTCGCCCGTCGCAGCGCCTCCCGGGGGCGACGTGCCGAGTGACGGGGCAGGAACCCGTCGCGCGCCTCGGGGCACACGGCGGGCAGAGAACCGCCGCGCGCCTCGGGGCGCACGGCGGGCAGAAAACCGCCGCGCGCCTCGGGGCGCACGGCGGGCTGAAAACCCTAGTTTCGACGCCGCGCACCACGGGGCGCGCGGCGGACAGGGAGTAGCAGTAGCAGCGGAAGCAGTGAAGTGGGCCCACAGGCCAGGAACGTTAAGCTCTGATACCATGTCGTGATAGTAGGTATACTGAGGAGCCATAGCTAGGGTTGACCTAGCTAGGCAAGAGAGAATGAAGGCAAAAGAGAGCTGAACTAGCAAGAATGGGGATACAAATAGCAAACCCTAGAAGGGTTGTACTCGCTACAGAGCACCCCACTACAGGCTAGAGCATAATATTCTGACAGGTGACTGGACTTCAATTCAAGTTGGACTGGGATTTGCCCGGGGAGGAAATGTCCAGGACGGCTTCCTGAGTCCGAGTTGTCCCCGGTCCGAGTGGCAAATTGAACTGTTCGGTAGCCTAATCGCACTGGCTAGGTTCGGTTTGCCTATAAGACTTAAGGGGTTTTAACGTGCTTACATTTGGTTTCGTGAAATTGCCTAGAGCAATCCGAAGTCATACTGGGCTGCCTACCGAACAGGGCCCAGGTGTGCACTTGATGGATTGCTCTGTTTCGTTCTGGATGGGATGCGACCGACACGGGCGGCATCCCCCAACCCCGAGGCCTTCTTTTCACTAGGACGGCTTCAAACAAAACCTTGTCCTGCCCTGGAAGCTTTGAAAATGCAGTTGGTGTTTCCCCGCGCTGTCAAAGGGGGTGCCCTTGTGCCCTTTGTCCTTGTTCTTGGTTGGTGTCCTTTCAAGCCATCGTGATTAGCAAACCAGCGTTCCTCCTGTATCGCTTCAAATATTACATTAAATGGTCGCTTCGCCTTTCATTTCCGGGAAAATATGTCAATGGTAACTTACATGGGGCACTGTAACGCGTACGGTAACGATTTCAACGCGTTTGGTAACTCGCTTAACGCGTTTGGTAACTCGCTTAACACGTTTGGTCACTCGCTTAACACATTTGGTAACTCTACACTAGCAGCCCATCACGCGAATGGTAACTACATGAAATTTCCGCCGAAATGAGTCTGAAAAAGAGGAATTTATCAAGTTGGAAAGCTTTTACGCACAATATTCTCTATTTGAACAAGTCCCGCCGCGAATTTGAAGGACCCCGTTTGTTCTAATACCACGGACCACAAAGTTTCAGGGCCATTTGAGAAATATACATGTATATGTAGCTCGTACAAAAATGGTTAAATTCCATTTTTTTATAGCATGATTGCGAACTTGCAAAGCGATAAAAAAAACCGAAAGGACCTCGGGAATATTACTGTTTATAATTAATGCAACGTTGGAGAATTTTTGCGCATGGGAAAAATACTCCTCTTGAAAATTACATGTTTCGTACTTTAAATAAAGAAGCATAAACGCCTGGTCGCAAGAAGTTTAAGGTTGTTGCTCTCAAATTTATCTGCCATTTGAAAGGAGTATAGATTTGTTTGCCCCGGCTGCACGCTAGAAAAAAGTACAAACAGTTTGCGGAAGGAGCGCCGGAAGTTCAATTATGTATGAATAGATGTTTTCACAACACTTGCGTTTTTGCAATAATCTTGAAAATCGGAAAGTGTGTCAGGATTTCGGAGAGTGTGTCAGAATTTCGGAAAACAGTGTCAGAATTTCGGAGAGTGTGTCAGAGGTTTCTGCTTCAGGATTCGTCAATGTTTTCTGACGCGAGCGGGAAAAACCAGAATCAGGCTCAATTTCGGCGGGAATTTCATGTAGTTACCATTCGCGTGATGGGCTGCTAGTGTAGAGTTACCAAATGTGTTAAGCGAGTGACCAAACGTGTTAAGTGAGTTACCAAACGCGTTAAGCGAGTTACCAAACGCGTTGAAATCGTTACCGTACGCGTTACAGTGCCCCATGTAAGTTACCATTGACATATTTTCCCTTCATTTCCAGTGGGGGCCCGTGAAGTTCCAGCTGGAGCTTACAATAATCTGATGTGACATATACCACAGAAGTCTCCCTTTGTAATGCTTTCTCGGCTAGCTGGGTAGTTACGGCGGTACACTGGGCTACTGCCCCTACGATAGTTAAAAGGGGTAGCATGCGTTGCAACATGTGCGTGTCGCGAACGGGCGGCTACTGGCTCTGATTGAACCACTCTGCTCGTCGTGACTGCGTGTCCCAAAAGTTCGTCTACATTTCGCTCAGTGGGACTTGTAATATCTAGATAGGTCTATTTGTTTTTAAAAATGGTTGGGATGGGTAAATTATGGGATGGGTGGGTTAGGTGCTTCGTTTGTGGCGGCATCGTTGGGGGTACAAGTGCGCGTTTATGGAGTTTGGCTGCACTTCGTGTCTTGGTCATTACGGTTCGACCGGGGAGTTTTCCGCAGTGTACAGGACATTCACTTTCACGACCGTAAACTTGGTTGAGTTTGTTTTTTTCACGGGAAGACTCCCTATGTGGGTCAGATGTTGACACGTTAGCCAGGCTTCAGTTGAGGTTTGGAAAATGAATTTGCTGCGTGTGGTTGGGACCCCTCGTATCAAGGGTGTACACGTATCACATCAGGCAAGTCAGGTGTTCTCGCCGTTTCGTTTCTCCCCGACTTCACTCAAATCCATCGCCACAAGTCCCAAAGGATAATATACGGATAACCCGATCCCCAACCTGGCACTGCTGTGTGGTTCCCACACCTACCGTCTGACGGTCATTACCAGCTGTTAATCACACCGCCACCAGGACACCAGCGCTCCCAAACTGCCTGGCGCAATTCTTGTACTGTACTGTACTGACCCCAACGATGGGAACAGCTGTGGGGTGCAACCCCTCATAATTTGTTTGTCAGCTTCCCCAGGGAACAGCTAGTTGATGTGCAGAGCGTACACATCCGTCCTAGCGTGCCGACGCCAAACCAAACCCTGCGAAGACTTTCACGTTCACCTCGTTGTCGCCAAAAGCACGCGCGGTGAGGTGATGTGTTGGGCTGAGATGAGAAAGCAAGAGGGGAGCTAGCAAGCAGAGAACCTAGTTTGAGGACTGATGTAGTAAGAGCGAGTTTCTTCCCTTATTAGGCAATTTCGTTTCCTCTCTTGAACATGCACCAGATCAGCAAACTCAGGATCGCTGTTCGCCGCGTATGGCGAGGAAGAGGGCTAAACGTCAACTGGAATCCTATCAGGTCAACGGGGAGACGCTAAGACGTAATATATAAAGTCTTTACCTTTTTTCGCTGAGTAGGTTTTCTACTCTCAAGAGCATGATTCTGAGCTTATCCCTGATTCCGGTTTCCGTCCTTCTCCGCAGCTGGCGTATGCGTCCTGCTCCGCGCACCGGACCCGAACACGCCGTCGTATATTGCTCGAATTGAGAAGATAGAAGCAGACTCCTCGAACCGCGTCACCATGCTGTGTCGCTGGTATTACCGTCCGGAGGATTCGATAGGAGGTCGAAGGCAATTCCATGGCTCGAAGGAGCTGTTTCTATCCGATCATTGCGATAGGTGTCATCCAGAGGCCGTGGAGAGCACGTGCAGAGTACATTCATTTGCAGAGTATACAACTTTGTCGACAGTCGAGGAGGAGGATTTCTTTTGTCGCTTCGAGTACAAAGCAGCCACAGGAACTTTCATGCCGGACCGCGTCGCCGTGTGAGTAGCATCCTCTTAAAACCCTTCAAAACCGAATAGCTACCTTCGATATGTCTCGAAGCGCGGAGACTCATTATTGATGCCCCCCGTCGGTGTATTTCTCGTGTGCGTGGTCACAGGTATTGCACATGCGAGATGCCTTACAACCCTGACGAGCTTATGATTCAGTGCGAGAAGTGCAGAGACTGGTACGCATGGCGTGGTTCAAGTCCTTAACTTTCAAAACCCCCCCTGTGTGTTTCTTTCAGAGCAAGCATTCGCTTCGCTAACTGCTGCTGAACCTCATCTGTGCAGGTTCCATCCAGCGTGCGTCAGACTTCCATTAGAAAGAGTTCATAGCATCAGTCACTTCACGTGTCCTGAGTGCACCTAGGGTTCAGATATATATTTTCTTGGAGTAGGCACGTCTAGATTCTTTTTTACCCAGTGTTGATAGTAGGCATAGCTCTGATATGATTTCTAGCCTAAATAATCTTACATGCCGTGCTGACTACTACTGTAACTGGTGACTAACTGCTTAGAGTTGACATGACACGTCAACATCCTCGAACAATAAAAAAAAAAGCGAACTAATCTTTTTGGAAACAGAAGTCAATCAGGAAGGAAAGAGGACCACTGCAAGGGGCACAGCACCCATCGACTCATGTAGCGTACGTAAAGATTCACGTGCCAACAGCAAATGACACCCAAACTACAGAATAAGCCAGAGTGTCAGAGCCCATACACCACGTCCACCAACCTCTGCCACACAGACTGGTTCGCAGAGGCAATAGGCACTGCAGCACCGTGACTATCCATGGCACTATGCTGCTGGCCTCGCCGCACCGGGGCTGGAGTAGCAGAGAACAGCCCACCACCCTGCCACACAGACGCAGCCCCTGCTGCTGCTGCAACACCCCCTGGAGCACTGGCATCGGCACCGGCAGCAGCAGTTGTGAAGGGAACAGCAGGGGCAGGGGGGCATCCGAAAGTAGTAGTTGCGCCTGGGAAAAAGGAGGCGGTGCGGGTAGGGTCTGTGGTGCGGGATTGAGGCTGAGGCAAGGCGCCTGGGGCACCCGACATGGCAGGAGGGCGCGTGGAGAAGAGGACAGAGGAGGAGGTGGTTGGTGGGGGAGGGGCGCGTGCTGACGGGGGAGAGCCTGTGCTGCTGGGGAGTGTGGGGTACGGGTCAACGGCGGGAAGAAGGAACAGATGAGAGTGTGTTGGACAGGCAACGAACAGGATTGTTTGGCAAAGACAAGTGATAAAGGTATACAGTAACAGGAACTTTGATGCGCTGACTCATCCATGCTGAGGAATGGTTGGGGCCTTGCACATCACACATGCCCACGCTACGCTTGTGCCCAAGCCTCTGAAGACTTCCCATCCCATGCAGCACTCCATCCACACCCCACCATACATCTCCTCCATACACCATCATGCCATCCCTAACCAGCGTGATGAACAGCCACGTTGCACTAGAAGCAAGTGCAGGTGTGAAGGGCGGCTCACCTGGAGCCCCCCTGCATGAGCTTCACGCCTATGATGGTGCCTGCTGACACCTGCTGCCCTGACCGCCCTAGCGCCCTCTCAGCCTCTGCTGCTGTCTGGTGGCCGTAAGACCAAACAGGAGGGGAAGCGGGGGAAACGGGGCGCGGGGAGAGTGGAGGAGGCGCAGGGAGGGGGGACGGAAATGAGTGGAGGGGGAACGGAAATGAGTGGAGGGGGAACGGAAATGAGTGGAGGGGGGACGGAAAGTAGGGATGGTTTTCCAATATATGGGTTGACGTAGAAGATACTGAAACATGTTTGTCTTTCTTGTTCTACAACTAAAAGAAAGCAAAGCGGAGGGCGAGAGAGAGCAAGACTAACGAGGGCAGAAAGGGAGCATACATGCTCCGTGTGGTTGAGCCCAGACTTCCATACATGTGTCCATCTGTTCGTTATCAATCCTTCGACATCGATTCACAAACGGCAAGGACGCAATCACCCACGCCCCGCGCGTCATGTCCCACGCCCCACGCCCCACGCCCCACGCCCCACGCCCCACACACTCCCTGCGCCCCTCATCCCCACACCCGCCTCCCGCACTCCCGGCGCACCTGGAACCTGATGTTCACCCAGTTGCCGCGTCCGGGACACGGCACGTGCTCCACCACTCGCCCGCACCCCTCCATCTCCCGCAGCACCAGCGGTAGCTCCTCCGGGAGGAACCTGCGCGCACCCGCGGAGAGAGACGCGGAGAGAGACGCGGAGAGAGACGCGGGGAGAGACGCGGGGAGAGACGCGGAGGGAGACGCGGAGGGAGACGCGGAGGGAGACGCGGAGAGAGTCGAGGAGAGAGACGCGGAGAGAGACGCGGAGAGAGACGCGGAGAGAGACGAGGGGAGAGAAACACACAGGCACACAGATGAGGGGCAGTAAGGGGAAGTGTGAAAACGACTCACAACACAGTCACAGATAAACGTGCTCTAAGGTATACTTCGGGCAATCCAGAAGCTGGCTGTGATGGCAGGATGAAAGGGTGCGATTCGAGATGTTAAGAAGGACGCAAGTACACTACTTCTGAGGTGCCTCAAGAATCAGAGAGGACACGAAGGAAGGACTTGATCCATTTGAAGGGACGTTAACGTTTGACGATCGAGGTTCAACGCTCGAGGTTCAACGCTCGACAAAGAAAGCGTTTACTGCTTGAAAGAAGTTGAAGAAACGCGAAGGCACACGGGTACGCACCCGTACACAGTGACCCACGTTCCGCCGTCCTTTGAGCTATCCCCGCTCCTTTGCCCGTCTTGCGCCTGCCCCTTGCCCCATGCGTTCGTTCCCGCCTGCTTCTGCGCCGCCTGCTGCGCCTGGGCCATTCCCCGTCCTTGCTCTCCTCTCCCCGCTCCTTGCTCCGCCTGCGCGCCTTGCGCCGCGCCCGAAGGGCCGGCATATTGTGCACTTTCCGCGCCTCCTGCGCAACCGTTCGCCATACCCGTCTCAGTTACCTTAAACCCTCGCTGCCACTGCTGCTGCTGCTGCTGTTGCTGCTGTTGGAGCTCGGAAGAGTTAAACCTCCCCGAAACCGGGATGTTCGCGTTATAAGCAGATCCGCCTAATCCATTCATACCAGGACTCTGCGGAGACCCGCTGCGACCGTCATAGTAACCAATACCGGGCGTCCCTGAAGCGGGGCTTCCTGTAGCGGGGTTTCTAAGCGGACCCGGAGTGCTCACGGGAACAGGGCGTAGAGGGGTAGCGGCGGGGGCGGCGGAGGGGGATTGGTGAAACTGGTCCGCCAGTGTGAGAAACGGCGGCGGCGGAGGCTCCGCAGGGGACCCCGCGCCGGAGGAAGTCCGCCAGAGCGCGGCGGCGGCGGCGGCGGCGGCCGCAGTGCTCTGCACGGGGGACCCGCGCGCGATCGCGATGGGGCTCCCCCTGCTTCCCCCCCGGGCGTGGCGCGCAAGTCGTGGTACAGGAGCGAGGTGGACGGCGGAGCTGCGCGGCGGAAGTCCGCGAGTGGGGGCACGGAGGGGAAGTGCGAGAAGGTGGGGGAGCGGGACGACAACCCGCGGTCCATGTAGCCGTTACCGCCGGGCGTGGCGGTGGGAGGCGGGCCGAACAGGCCTGTAGCGCTGGGAGCCCCGTACTGGCCGTAATCTGCTGGTGGGAAGAACAGATTAGTAAAAAAAAAAAAACGGTGGGAATTATAATAGTGGAATTTGCGATCCAGTGACTAGAGAATAGAAAATATATACAGGTGTGACCCTGAACCCGCCGCAGCGCTAAGTGCACTGAAACCCGAAGAACTAACCCCTGGAAAAAGCGGCGAAAATACATAACTAAACGCTTTCGCTTGCTGTGCGTACCTCTTGAGTACGGCGACGCAGCCGAGGGATCGTCCGGCGGAAAAGAGACGGGGATCGCGGGCGATCTATTGTACGGCGATCCAGCGGTAGCGCTTGCATAAGCTCCCGTGGCGGCCGATCGGCCGAAGAGGCGCGAGGAGTAAGGATCCGGCGGCGATGCTGACAGCGGGGTTGACGGATCCGGGAAGAATAGCGACCCGCCCACCATGGCTGCTGCGATCACGAGACGAGTGAAGAGATGATAATCGATAATCGATCTTGCAAATTCGGAATAGCAAAGAAACGAGTGTCAGGTGAGTTTGTGAAAGAAAGGCTGAATCCGTACAGGAAAAATGAGAGTGCGAGCGACCAAATCCGAGTTTCCACTGAAGCCTTGAAAACAAAAGGTTCAGAATCAGGATCGCAAGATCCGCACCGGCTCACTTAGAGACGACCGGACGTATGGAATTCAGAGAGGAGACAACGGTGGAACCCCAGACTGCGGGAATCCGCGACTGGTGGAACTATCTAGGCGGACGCGAAGCAGGATCGAGGTTGGATTGGAGGCTGGAGAAAGGCAGGCGGAGAATGGAGCATATGTGGGGTACGGGTGGATGGGAAGGGGAAGGGGATGGTGACTGGGGGGAGTCTCGATGAAATTTGAGACAACTGCCCGCCAACCAGACTGTTTCTGCGGCTGGCCCTGGGTTGCGCGCTTGCTCCTGCTCCTAGCTCTGACAGTTGGGTTGAAAACTCCCGCCATTTGGGTCGGAGTTTCCGAGGGCAAAACGCGTCGATACGGGTGTAAAACAGAAGCGTGGAGCAGAAGGAATGTCCCTGGTTTCGGACTGTCAACGCTCTGCACCGTATTCAAACGTAATGCAACGCAACACTTAGAAATGCTTTCTTTGCCACAGAAGCTGGTAAGGGGAAGCTTTTTTTAGTGTAGATCTTTACATACCCTACATATCTATTCCCATCACGGCTTCCAATACCTGCTAGCTAAACCCTAATCGGTTCAAGATTCCTCCAAGCATTCCCTTCGCGCCTCCCTCACTCAACCCATCACCACCACCAGCAGCAGTACCCCCTTGCACCTTCCCCAGTCTTTGCCTGACTGCTGCCACCAGCTGCGGCAGCACCTCCCCTGCCTTGCCTTCTAGGCCCACATCCGCAGACACAAACGCATCTGGGTCCAGGTTCACAGCTATCACCTTGCCTCCACGCATTCGACACATGTGCGTGAGGCTGTTGGCTGGCGCCACCTGGGGAACACACGCGCGTGAGAAGGTGGGCAACAAGGGTGGATGGTGAGTGGATGGTGAGTGGATGGTGAGTGGATGGTGAGAAAGCGGAAGTTGCTGCGCATGTGGCGCATGTGTGTGGGGCTTGTTGGCTGGTGCTAGATGGGGGATGCATGTGGGTGAGAAGGCTGGACAAGGCACGAAACAAACAGGTTCTTTTGCATGCAGCCTTGCACAGTTGGCGAAGGTTTGAGGGAGGGGAACGGAAGGGGGTAGAGGAGAGGGAAGAGCAGGCCGAGAGAAAGAGAGGGCATGATGCTGGGGAGATGGGATGGACTAAAGAGGGTAAGGAAGAGTTGGCATGTTGCGGGAGCAAAAGGCATGGCGTCGCGGGTCAGGTGGAATCTTTAGGCCAAACGAAGTCAGCTGCAAGTCAGGACGACCTTTTCAAATGAGGCAGCCAAAGTTGTCGGTATGAGAGAGTGGGTTGAGCAGCATGGGAGAGTGCGATTACCATGAGAGACGTGCCAATGACTAGCAGCACATCAGCGGACGCAGCAGCAGCAACAGCTTCAGACATGGCAGCTGCAGGCATGGGCTCTCCAAAGAGAATCACATCCAGCTTCAGCACACCAGAGCACACCGGACACACCGGCACTGCCACTCCCTGCACACGGGGGGGCGTGTGGGGTGGTAGGTAGGGTAGAGTACATAGGGAGGAGAGGGTGAGGTTGAGGGAAGAAGAGTGGAGGCAGGTGGAGGAGTGCAGGCATGGACTCCCCACGAACGAGAAGTTCAGCTTCAGCACGCTGGAGGACACCGGACATACCGGCACTGCCACTCCCTGCGCTCCAAGTAGGGCGTGGGGTGGCAGGTAGAGGGAGGCACACAGGGGCGGCATGGGGGCTCTTAAAAGGGCCATGGCTGCGGAGTGTGGCGGAGAGGGAGGAGAATGAGCGAATAGAGCCACTGAGACGTCCTTGGGAACGCTGTGCTCACGTGCACGAAAACACGAGCAGAGCCACAAATAGCTGGATGAATGGATGGATGAATTTGGAGCCTACACGAGAAAGTAAACCGGGGGACGAACCTTATCGAGCTGAGCCAGTGCGACCTCCTTGGGCACGCTGTGACCGCATGCCATGCACGTGCACGTGCGCGTGTTGCCATGCACCTCCACCACCCTCTCACTGCCCGCCTCCTGATGCATGCGGTGGGATGGGGTGGGATGGGATGGGATGGGATGGGATGGGATGGGATGGGATGGGATGGGATGGGATGGGATGGGTTAAGTTGGGTTGGGATGGGGTGATATGGGATGGGATGAGCTATCTAGTGCAGCCACGTTCCCTTGCCTACACACACGTAATACAGCCCATCCACATGAACCACGCACCCACCCACCCACTCACGCCTGCGTGCCCGCTCTTGCGTGCAGCCCATCCACGATCCGAGTGATCACACATGTGAGCAACCCACCCCCGACCCACCAATCCATGCACGCACGCACGCATGCTTGCGCACGGACGCTTGCCCACCTGGTGCAGCCCATCGACGTTCTGAGTGACGACACAGGAGAGCAGCCCCAGGTGCTGCAGGTCCCTCAGCGCCTCGTGCGCTGGGTTGGGCCGCGCCGGAGCCAAGTCCGCCAGCAGTGCCCGCACCATCTCCCAAAACATCTCCGGCCTGGCCCATGGGGGAGGGGAAGGGGAAAGGGGTGGGATTGATTGTTTGGTTGCAGCGCGCATGCCTGACTGCGGTAAGGCCGACCGCCGTGCGCACACCATCTCCCAAAATATCCCCGGCCTGGACAACGGGGGAGGGGAAGGGGTTTGATTGATTGGTTAATTTGGGCGTGCCTGCCCGTGCTAAGGCCAAGGGCAGCGCTCACACAATCTTCTGAAACGTTTCTCGCCTGGTGGGAGGTGGGGGGTGGGGGGGAGCGGGTTGACAGAAAGGGAAGGTGGGGGAGCAGCTGTGGGCACGGGGCGGAGGGGAGAGGGAATGGGGGAGAAGGGAGGGATGGGGGAAAGAGAGAGGCAGAGGGAGAGAGTTTTATTAATCAGTGGTGGCTGGGGAGGAAAGGAAGAGGGGAGGGCGGGGAGAAGGGAAGTCAGCGAAACGGTTTTTTCCCTCACCCTTATTTCCCTTCCTCCCTCTTCCCCCTTTCCATTTTCCCCACAACTCAACTCCCTCCCCTCCCCTCCCCTCCCCTCCCCTCCTCTCAACCAAAGGACAGGGCAGAGGGCGCGCACTTGGTTTGGAAGACCGGGTAGCTGCAGTAGGTGGCGGGGTCGAAGCGCGCCCACAGCCCATGCGCACTGCGGAAGTCCGGAATGCCTGGGGGCCAGTGGCGCGGAAGGAAAACGGTAGGAGTAGGGGGTGGGGGTGGGGGTGGGGGTGAGGGTGGGGGAGGGGGTGGAGGGAAAGAGACAGGGGAGGGGATGGGCAAGCGGGAAGCGGGAAGCGGGCAGGAAGAGGGGAGGGAAAACGGGAGGAGGGTGAGTGGAAGCACGTTGCAATAGCACTGCTCACTCAGCAGCGCCATCTCAGTCAACGGTACTTGAGAATCTGAACTCTTCCTATACGCTGCTGCGTGCCCTGCTATGATGCTGCAGCCCCAAGTGAGAGTAAACGGAAATCCGCTAGCAGAGATTTCCCGGCTGCGCTGCACGCCCCACCAGCCGCACCACCCGCGCCAGGCAAACCTGACTCAACGCCACACCAGTCCCACCACCAGCTGCGCCAGTCGCGCCATCCGCGCGAGTCGCGCCAGCTGCGCCAGCCGCACCTGACTCAACGGAGATCCCCGCGCCGGTGAACGCGACGACGCACTTCGCCTGCGCCACGATCCGCGCGGCGCGCTGCATGTGGTCCTCGGGCGACACGTCGTCGCCCTCCCACCGCATCTCCTCGAACCGCATGCCCTCCATCGCGCCGCGCGCTACCTGCTGCCGCCCTCCGACGAGTCGCTCTCTGTCTCGTTCGCGCTTTTCCCGTCTTTATCCGAGTCTCCTGCGCTCCGTCTCTGTCTCGTTCCCCCTTTCGTTCCCCGTCCGACAGAGTCTCACTCACAACCGAACTCCCACCCCCCACACCCCCTCCTCCCTCCCCGTACCCCTCCTCCTCCTCCCCTTTTCCCGCCCCCCCTTTTCTCTCTGCCAGCCTCGAAGCAGTTGTGCCGCCAAGCCCGTGCGGCGGCGAACGAGGAGCGCGCTGCGTGGTAGGCGCTCGTCGCGCGAAAAGACCTCGTTGCGGTGCGGGCTCCTAGGGCTCGGCTGGACGTGCTGCGGGACGTGCGACGTACGACGTGCGACGTAAGGCTCTACTAGTAACAATTCCCCCGCATAGAGGGTCGTGACTAGCGCTTTTGGTGGTAAGGTAAACAACCTCCATGCTGCACGTGCAGGGAACATCCACCGAAAGAAAGGAAGTGTAGATGCTCATTAAATTGTTTTATGAAAGTTTCGAATATAAGGCTTGAACTATTAACACCGCACGTTCAAACACAAGGAATGCTTCAGCTTCTAGGCGACCAAGAATAAAACAAAACAAAACAAACAATGCGTGTGGTTGTGCAATCAGCCACACCTTCCTCCCGAGTCCCATCCCAACCGAAGGAGGCCTAGGACACAATTTTTGGCATGGCACTGCACTGAACTCGTTATACACTAGAGCTCGTGCACGTACCACACGTACAGGCTTCGCATATGTGAATTCCTGCTAACAAACCAAGTCTTTGCCCTAAACTAGCCAACCCAGCACGTTTAATGCCAGCAGCTTCTTATATGGTTAGTGGTCACCCCTCCTCACCTCCTCCTCTTCCTCCGATGGGGCAGTTGAAGTATCAAAGACTCAACCCAATCCGAGTCCTTGTGCCATGTCATGCCACGCCAGTGATGCCTGTACCATGTGGGTAGAGTCTAAGCTGCAACCAGGTAATGGCTTGCGAAGCTTTGCAGCGGTGATGCTGGTTGATCAAGGGCTGGCAAACCTGCTCCTTCTCGCTTTAACCCTCTTGCTCCTCCTCCTCCCTCCTCCCCAACACCAGTTCGGCCCGCACTCCCGTCACCCACCTTCCATCCCATCCAGCGTACTAAACAGCGTCCTTGCAGTGTTGCCTTGGCCCCACACCACATCCACATGGTCATAACCCAAGTCGCACAAGTCTAGCTCGCCCTGGCATGGCCTCGTGAACCCCACGCGCAACCTTTCTCCCAGCAATGGCCTCACTCCCCATGCGGCAAGAAGAGTATTTGCCTGGGGAGCGAGTACAACATATCTTGGCCTTTGAAATATTCTCTGAAACCATCTCACCGCTCCTGCCAGAAGAGTATGCAACACATTTCCTCGTGAGAAAAAGGAGAAGAAACATACGGAGGAAGAAAAAAGCCGACCATGCCATACCAGGGGTCCTCCTCCTCTCTTATAAGAAGGGAAGGAGCAGCACGGACACAAGCCAACACGCAAACACATACAGGCACAGCAATGCCTCGAGCGCAACTGCGAGTGCGAGTGCAGCAGACTAATGCGTGGTATCTGAAATTTCTTGCAGAAAAACACGTTTCCGCACTTACCCGTTTGTGAGCCTCAGGCGGTGGAGCAGGAGGAGGCGGCGCAGGGAAATCCATTCCCCATCGCTCCACTTCCGGCGTGCCATACATCTCGCGGTGCTTGCTAATGTCATGCTCGTACCCCCGGTTGCCTCCACACGGCTCCGACCCCGCGAGCATGATGGCTGCCTGGGCGCACACTAGCTTATCCACTATCGCCACCACTCCTGCCAGCATTGCAACAAGAGATGAAGGCGTGTCTGGGCTACGTAACGTTGCTTCATACAGGCGCGTATGGTACCGGGATTGTACCACCGGGATGGTACAAGTTCAGAGCGAACACGAGCTCATCGATCGTAACCGTGCCGCTCACACAACACACCAAGGCCAGTGCAGCTGCTGTCGGATCGCCTCAAAACTCAAACCCGCTTATTTTCTTCATTTTCGGTAGATTTTTATATTTTCGACCGGGATCGCAGGAATTGAGAACGGGAATGAGTCCTTTCGTTGTCCAAACATACTCACCGGGATCGTACGAGTTGAGAGCGGGAATAAGCTCATCAATCATGACCGTGCCGTTCACGCGCGAGCGCAGCCAGTGCAGCTGCTGTACGGCCATGCTGGTGACAGGCGTCTCAAACAGCCACTCCATGTAGCCCCAGGAGCTCGACCGCAAGGGAGCACTGGATGCATTGTACGGCACGTCCGCGGCAATGAAGACCGCGGTGATGTTGTGCTGCTGCTTCACTGCGTTGATGCGCTGCACGGCACTCTCCGTGCACCACTGCATCTGCTGCTTGAGCGTCGTTGCGTTGCTGTGCCCGTTGGGTAGCAGCTGGTTGTCTGACATCTGCGCGTGGTAGCAGGGGAGGAGGTGAAGGCGAAAGGGCTTGAACAGATGGTGGTCGCAATGAGACAGAACGTTGCAGCAGTTGAACACAGCGTAAGTCTACTGGTGTTTCGCTGGGTGCCACTTGGTACTTTCAGACTCCAGTCGACTCAAAACACAGCCCGTGCCGTGCGCACCACTCATGCCTTGCGCACCACTCATGCCGTGCGCACCACTCATGCCGTGCGCACCACTCATGCCGTGCGCAACACTCATGCCGTGCGCACCACTCATGCCGTGCGCACCACTCATGCCTTGCGCACCACTCATGCCTTGCGCACCACTCATGCCGTGCGCACCACTCATGCCGTGCGCACCACTCATGCCGTGCGCACCACTCATGCCGTGCGCACCACTCATGCCGTGCGCACCACTCATGCCTTGCGCACCACTCATGCCGTGCGCACCACTCATGCCGTGCGCACCACTCATGCCGTGCGCACCACTCATGCCGTGCGCACCACTCATGCCTTGCGCACCACTCATGCCGTGCGCACCACTCATGCCTTGCTCGTACCACTCTGAAGGCGATGAACTCGGAGCGGAAGTGCACGGCGAGGAAGGGCTTGGGGAGATGCTGCACGATGCGTGCAGCGAGGTAGTGCCACTCGTGCTTGTACGGCAGCTGCTGCAGCGCTATGTCGTCCGTGTGTGGCTCGAACCACACGCGCTCCCACGTCGTCTTGAACCACAGCACCACGTCCGTATCTCTTCTGTGCTTGTGCATGGGATCGGGGGCGGGTGCAACAAAAGGGGTGGGTGTGGCAGCGCGTTTTGAGAGGCGTCAGACTTCAAAGAACACGCGCTCCCACGTCGTGGTGCCGACGCCACACATGCTCACCACTTCACATTGTTGCCATGGGCTTGTAGCGGCCATGGGGTTGCAGCAGCGGGAAGCATCACACATCTTGCCAGCATCACACATCTTGCCAGCATCACACACCCTGCCATCATCACACATACTGTTTGCGAACGAGGTTTTCGATGTCGTGTTCGTTAGCAGGCATGTTGAAGAGCACCGTGTTGCTCTCCGTTGGCACGTGGCCCAGGGCGAATGTCAGCAGCTCCCCTGTGAACACCGACACCATGTCTGCTCGCCCACCACCCATCCATGCCCCCATGTACCGTGCCATCCCCCCACGAGCCATGCCATGCCCCCACATACCGTGCCCCCACGTGCCATGCACCACATGCCATGTCCCACAGCAATGCCCCCAAAAAGCACCCACCCACACGCCATCCCCCCAGAGAGACACACACACACACAAAAGAGAAGATGATGATTTGGGGTTGTGAGTTCACATGGAGGGCAGCGTGTATGGAGCAGCGTGTAGAGGGAATGGAGTGAGGAAGAGGGAAGGTACGGGGTGTGTGTTGTGGGCGGGATAGGGGAGAGGCTTGCATGCACACATGCCCGCACGCACGCACATGCACGCACGCACATGCACGCACGCACGCATGCACATGCACACCTGCACGCACTCAAGCACATGCACGTACGCGCGCGCGCACACACACACACACACACACACACGCACGCACGCTCTCTTGAAAGCGTGCGTGCACACATGCACACACAAACACAGACATGCACACGCACACGCATGCACGCACACGCACACGCACGCACGCACGCACGCACGCACACACACACAGGCACACACACCAAGCCGATGAATCACTTGCACTCGTCATGAAGGGCCTGGAGTGAGACATATTGCCAGAGCACACTCACCCTCTCACCCACCCTCACTCACTCACGCACTCACTCTCTCCCACCTATCTACTTGCACACAATCGGAATGCCCACAGCAAGCCAAACTCCAAAGAATCTCACACGAACATGCAACGCAACAGGCCACCCCTGAGAAAGCAACTGTGGGGGAGGTAAGGCACGCTCCCAAACCCATCACAAAAAGACATGCAGTGCAGGAACCCACCCCAGTCAAAGGGATTGCGGTTGAGGTAGGGCGATGTGACCCAGGTGAACCCCACAGAGGGTTTCTTGAGAGCTGCGCGCGCCAGCAGCAGGAAGAGCTCTGGTGAGATCCAGGGCGCTGCATCAAAGGGCGTGAGGTCCCAGTAGGAGCAGAGTGGCAGGGGGTGCGAGAGGTCTATCCGGCTGTTGCTCCCCTGACATGCACCCACGAGCACGGAGGCAGCGGGAGGGAGGCGCGGGAAAAGGGCCGCCAGGGGGAAAAGGAAAGTTGGGAGTTCGGATATTGTTCAGTCCACTCAGGTGTGGTCAAAGAGGGGTTGGTACCTGCACTCTCACTCAACAGATTCACTCGCTCTCACCAGCGGCAGCACTCTCACCAGCGGCAGCACTCTCACCAGCGGCAGCACTCTCACCAGCGGCAGCACGAGGACGCGGTTGGCCATGCGCGCAACGCGAGCAGCCTCCACGAGGTGCGAGCGCGCGTTGCTGAGCTGCTCCTCCGACATGGCGAACACCAGGTACCGCCGCCTCTCCCGCACGTCTAGATGCCGCAACGCCTGCAGGGGTGGAGGGGCGTTGGAAGGAGGAGAGGGGGGGAGTGGAGGGGGTAAGGGGGAAGTCGAGGGGAGAGGGCGGGAGTGAAGGGGAAAGAGGGAGAGTGAAGGGGCGTAGGGGGAGTGGCAGGCTGTGCGGTCCACGTGTGGCGTCTACTACCCACAACTGATGACTCCCCTGCTCCAAACCACCTCCGCTGCTACCCATTCCTGTTGGTCCATTCACGACTCAGGTCACCCAGCTTACACTGCGGGAGAAGGGCACGCCAGGCGCAGGCCAGCACGGCTCTGGCCAGTGCCGGCACGTGCTGCCGCGGGCGAGCAGGCTGCTCTGCACGCGCTGCAGGCGGCGGCACACGGACTCCATTCCGCGCGCGATCCGTTCCGTGCTCGTGTAGCCGTGCCGCTGCGCGCTCTGCAGCCACGCGCTCTCGTCCACGCCGCCCTGCACGGCGCGCTGCCACGGGGCCGAGCACAGCAACGCCACGTCGTGCTGGATTCGCAGTCTCTCCGCGTTCTGCGCCGCCGCTGGCGGCTCGCGCGCGGCGTCCAAGGACCCCGTCGTCGCCGGCGTCCCCGCCAGAGCCGCGGGCGCCGCCGCCGCGTCCTCCGCCGCTACGCGCGACTCGTTGAGGGCTAGCGTTTGGATAGCTGCGGCTTCTCTCCGTTTGCCCTTTAAAGCCCAATCCTTCAGCGACCGACACAAACTAACTCGGCAATTGGCGGCGAGGCGAGAATCCGACTCCGACTTCGAATCAAGACCGTTCATAGCTTCGCGACTCGGCGCACGGCGGCTCGGCCATCGCGGCGGCGGCCATCCGTCGGCTTCCGCGACTTTCCGGGCCAGCCACGGGCCGCGGAAGTCGTGGAGGGGGCGCACGACCACTTCTAACTCGTCCATGCATATGGGCGGCATGGGCGCGCTGCGCGTGTGCAAGAGGACTATCAACGCGAGCGAAGTCATTAGCGCGGCGAGCAGCACGGGCCAAGGAACAGCGCCGCCAGCCGGGTCGTGCCGCAACTTGCTGTCATTATCAGTCGCGCACGTGGCGGCGCCGCGAATCTCGGGCTCCGAGTCGGGCTTGCCGGCGGCGCGGCGGGCGCAGGTGAAGTCGATGCCGACCCGCGCCGCGAGGGAGTGGAAGCCGTCTAGTAGTACCAGACGCGGTCGCATTGCGATCCGCCGAGGCGCATGCGCGTGGCCTAGGTCTAGACTGCTACTACGACTACGAGTAGAGCTATTGGAAATCAAGTTGCGGCCGCTCGAGGTGCTCTTTCGCGACGATCACTGGTGGTCAACGGCGCGTGTGCGCTACTGGAATCGCTTCTAGTACCAATTCTTGAAGCAGAGAAGCGTAGCTAGTTTCAGTTGAGCAGACTTGGATCGAATTCCTGGGCATGGACACCATCTAAAGTCTGGACATGTTGAGCGTATTTTTATGCTGTACGCCTATTCCCCCCGTAGCAACCCGACCTTGACAACCAAGCTACGGAATTTGCATAGCTGAAAAGTGCACACAAAATTCTCTACAAAATCAATACACTCCACGCTACCCGGGTCAGTGAGTTGATCAAGCGCAGCCGACCAAAAATATCGAGACTTCCTTGCTTCTGCGCATGGCTTGTTTGAAGTTCTGTCAAGCCTGTCAAACTAGGAGGTTACTTGATATTTAGACCGTCAAACGAAAACGAATTTGCAACCCGTCAAACTGTCCCCACTTCGGATGGTGTCCCTGCGTAGGAATAGGATGTTTTAGTTGGTCGTGGTATGGGATGGGACTGCTGCTGCATCCCACCCACACGTTCGTTTAGTATCGCTTCGCATACCCTAGTGAGTGCCCCCATCCGCCGCAAACCGTCTCTCTCTCGCTCCCACAAGCACGTCCACCTCACGCCAAGCCAACTGCTACACGCCACGTCATCATTGAGAAAATCTACGCGCTGGAAGCTCCGCGAACACAGAGACCAACCACCCCTGTTCGCGCGTAAAGCAAATTTTCTTCCTTGGCCTCTGCACACAGCCAACATAGCAAACCTAAGTCCGCCAAGTCAAGCACGCCGGAAATCTCGTGGGGAAGATAGGACCGTTCGATGGATTCCGTCTGGGGTGTAGCGAACGTCGGTGTGCCGCTGCTGCTGCCGAGCCGAGCCAAGTCTGGTCTGACTGGTCAGATCAGGGCTCAAAATCAGGTCAGGACCATCAGGCAAACCAGCGCAGCAGACCAGACATGCTGACGCGCTGACGAGACGGCTCTTCTCCCAGCGGGCTGGGGCGGGGTGCGGGAAGTGGGCGGTACCCAGCGGGCTGGGGCCGGGTTTCCCCTCCCTACTTGTTCGGAGGACTGCGCGTTGCACAGTGCGAATGTTCGGAAAATGCATGTCGCAATCCTGCGACAAGCTTGCGCATCCGTGCGGCAACCTTCCGACGTGTTTAATTAGGACGTGTTGGAATTGGCAGTACTGTACACTGCTTCGGCTCGGCTTGGGCCAGGGTTTCAGACAGGCACCAGGAAATCAAGAGGCCGTAAAGATTTTACAAATAACGCGCGAAGCCATAAACTGAGGAAAACGCTTTACGGTGTATAAACTGAGAATGTTGGAAATACGGTATGAACTTTGTGCGCAGTTATTCTGCGCTTCTGGAGCAAGACATTTGAAGCTAATGGCGCAGAAACATTGCGCTTTCAGCGCACATCGCCGTTCATTGGTGCACACAATCGGCGTTGTTTAGCTTGTTGATTGTAAAACCTGATAAGCTCTGAAACAGCAGAGACCAATACCCCTCACTGTAGCCATCGCTACATCCCACAACACTAAGTTGCTATAGCATGTCACATGTCATTTTGTTCACCCTTCAGCCCATCGCATGAGAGTACTATCAGAATGGTTGAACTGGCGGCGATGCCTTATAATGTCACTCTCGTACCCTCTTCCCCCTCCGCAGTTCCACGAGCCTGCGAGGAACACATCTGCATGCGCAGAGACGAGCTTGTCTAGAATCGCCACCACACCTGCCATGCACACACGTGCACCGAGGGATGGTGGAAGGGGGAGCGTGACCGGAAAGGATGAATGATTCTCAAGGGTGGAAGCCAGGCAGCCGTGTGCATGAGCAAGGAGGGTGCTCTTAATTGTGGTGCTTGAGGTGGGTGGTCGGAAAGAGAAGCACCTGGTCCATCCCCTAAGAAACGAGCTGTTGTCCTGCTGGTGAAGGCGGGTAGGGAGCAGACACAGCGGGCGGAGTCTGGATTACGTGGATGGAATCGCTTAGAGCGCATCAGCCTCACCGGCATGCTGCAGTCACCACCACCAGCACCACTGCACAAACCGGCTTGGTGCTGCGGACTGAGCTAGTGCAGCATAGTGCAGGCATATACCCATGAGTGAAGCTTTGTGGTATGCATGCTCCACCAAGACAAGTTGATCCTTCACTCTTTCCTGGGTGCTTAGCAGCCAGCTGTGCTTCGCGCCACACACAACCACAGGTCGCCAGCTCCCATCACGACACCCGCGCACACTCTGCATGGCCCCAGCGCACAGTGGACCCCACGCCCCGTGACGGCCCGCACACATGCCTGCATCCCTGCCCTGCCCTGCTCCGACACCCCATGCCCCTATGGCGCCCTGCCCCACTACCCGCGCATCCGAAGGTGCCCTGCCCCACTACACGCGCACCGCAAGGCGCCCTGCCCCACTACCCGCGCACCCCAAGGCGCCCTCATTCATTCCGCACCATCCTTCCCCACTTGCCCACCCAACCGTGCCGTCCTTCCCCCAACGGTGTCGTCTCACCGACCGTGTTGTCTTGTCGCCCCCCTTCCCCCCCCCTGCCACTGCACTCCCCATCATGGCCGTTACCACCTCGCCGTTGGGACCTCGATGTCACGCATCACCTTCAACTCGTTCACAGCACCACCCTCCTCAACTGAGCGTTCTTCTCGTCGCAGTAGAGTATCCATACTGCTGTGCTGTGCCCTTGAGAGTGAAGTGAACCATCTCTGCTTGGTGCACATCATCTCGTCTCCCACAACCACGCTCATTCATTACCGCGCATTCATTACCGCGCACCCCATTCATTACCGCGCACCCCATTACCGCGTCATTACCGCGCACCCCATTACCGCGCACCCCATTACCGCGCACCCCATTACCGCGCACCCCATTACCGCGCACCCCATTACCGCGCACCCCATTACCGCGCACCCCATTACCGCGCACCCCATTACCGCGCACCCCATTACCGCGCACCCCATTACCGCGCACCCCATTACCGCGCACCCCATTACCGCGCACCCCATTACCGCGCACCCCATTACCGCGCACCCCATTACCGCGCACCCCATTACCGCGCACCCCATTACCGCGCACCCCATTACCGCGCACCCCATTACCGCGCACCCCATTACCGCGCACCCCATTACCGCGCACCCCATTACCGCGCACCCCATTACCGCGCACCCCATTACCGCGCACCCCATTACCGCGCACCCCATTACCGCGCACCCCATTACCGCGCACCCCATTACCGCGCACCCCATTACCGCGCACCCCATTACCGCGCACCCCATTACCGCGCACCCCATTACCGCGCACCCCATTACCGCGCACCCCATTACCGCGCACCCCATTACCGCGCACCCCATTACCGCGCACCCCATTACCGCGCACCCCATTACCGCGCACCCCATTACCGCGCACCCCATTACCGCGCACCCCATTACCGCGCACCCCATTACCGCGCACCCCATTACCGCGCACCCCATTACCGCGCACCCCATTACCGCGCCCCCCCCGCACCCCCCCGCACCCCCCCGCGCCCCCATTACCGCGCACCCCATTACCGCGCACCCCATTACCGCGCACCCCATTACCGCGCACCCCATTACCGCGCACCCCATTACCGCGCACCCCATTACCGCGCACCCCATTACCGCGCACCCCATTACCGCGCACCCCATTACCGCGCACCCCATTACCGCGCACCCCATTACCGCGCACCCCATTACCGCGCACCCCATTACCGCGCACCCCATTACCGCGCACCCCATTACCGCGCACCCCATTACCGCGCACCCCATTACCGCGCACCCCATTACCGCGCACCCCATTACCGCGCACCCCATTACCGCGCACCCCATTACCGCGCACCCCATTACCGCGCACCCCATTACCGCGCACCCCATTACCGCGCACCCCATTACCGCGCACCCCATTACCGCGCACCCCATTACCGCGCACCCCATTACCGCGCACCCCATTACCGCGCACCCCATTACCGCGCACCCCATTACCGCGCACCCCATTACCGCGCACCCCATTACCGCGCACCCCATTACCGCGCACCCCATTACCGCGCACCCCATTACCGCGCACCCCATTACCGCGCACCCCATTACCGCGCACCCCATTACCGCGCACCCCATTACCGCGCACCCCATTACCGCGCACCCCATTACCGCGCACCCCATTACCGCGCACCCCATTACCGCGCACCCCATTACCGCGCACCCCATTACCGCGCACCCCATTACCGCGCACCCCATTACCGCGCACCCCATTACCGCGCACCCCATTACCGCGCACCCCATTACCGCGCACCCCATTACCGCGCACCCCATTACCGCGCACCCCATTACCGCGCACCCCATTACCGCGCACCCCATTACCGCGCACCCCATTACCGCGCACCCCATTACCGCGCACCCCATTACCGCGCACCCCATTACCGCGCACCCCATTACCGCGCACCCCATTACCGCGCACCCCATTACCGCGCACCCCATTACCGCGCACCCCATTACCGCGCACCCCATTACCGCGCACCCCATTACCGCGCACCCCATTACCGCGCACCCCATTACCGCGCACCCCATTACCGCGCACCCCATTACCGCGCACCCCATTACCGCGCACCCCATTACCGCGCACCCCATTACCGCGCACCCCATTACCGCGCACCCCATTACCGCGCACCCCATTACCGCGCACCCCATTACCGCGCACCCCATTACCGCGCACCCCATTACCGCGCACCCCATTACCGCGCACCCCATTACCGCGCACCCCATTACCGCGCACCCCATTACCGCGCACCCCATTACCGCGCACCCCATTACCGCGCACCCCATTACCGCGCACCCCATTACCGCGCACCCCATTACCGCGCACCCCATTACCGCGCACCCCATTACCGCGCACCCCATTACCGCGCACCCCATTACCGCGCACCCCATTACCGCGCACCCCATTACCGCGCACCCCATTACCGCGCACCCCATTACCGCGCACCCCATTACCGCGCACCCCATTACCGCGCACCCCATTACCGCGCACCCCATTACCGCGCACCCCATTACCGCGCACCCCATTACCGCGCACCCCATTACCGCGCACCCCATTACCGCGCACCCCATTACCGCGCACCCCATTACCGCGCACCCCATTACCGCGCACCCCATTACCGCGCACCCCATTACCGCGCACCCCATTACCGCGCACCCCATTACCGCGCACCCCATTACCGCGCACCCCATTACCGCGCACCCCATTACCGCGCACCCCATTACCGCGCACCCCATTACCGCGCACCCCATTACCGCGCACCCCATTACCGCGCACCCCATTACCGCGCACCCCATTACCGCGCACCCCATTACCGCGCACCCCATTACCGCGCACCCCATTACCGCGCACCCCATTACCGCGCACCCCATTACCGCGCACCCCATTACCGCGCACCCCATTACCGCGCACCCCATTACCGCGCACCCCATTACCGCGCACCCCATTACCGCGCACCCCATTACCGCGCACCCCATTACCGCGCACCCCATTACCGCGCACCCCATTACCGCGCACCCCATTACCGCGCACCCCATTACCGCGCACCCCATTACCGCGCACCCCATTACCGCGCACCCCATTACCGCGCACCCCATTACCGCGCACCCCATTACCGCGCACCCCATTACCGCGCACCCCATTACCGCGCACCCCATTACCGCGCACCCCATTACCGCGCACCCCATTACCGCGCACCCCATTACCGCGCACCCCATTACCGCGCACCCCATTACCGCGCACCCCATTACCGCGCACCCCATTACCGCGCACCCCATTACCGCGCACCCCATTACCGCGCACCCCATTACCGCGCACCCCATTACCGCGCACCCCATTACCGCGCACCCCATTACCGCGCACCCCATTACCGCGCACCCCATTACCGCGCACCCCATTACCGCGCACCCCATTACCGCGCACCCCATTACCGCGCACCCCATTACCGCGCACCCCATTACCGCGCACCCCATTACCGCGCACCCCATTACCGCGCACCCCATTACCGCGCACCCCATTACCGCGCACCCCATTACCGCGCACCCCATTACCGCGCACCCCATTACCGCGCACCCCATTACCGCGCACCCCATTACCGCGCACCCCATTACCGCGCACCCCATTACCGCGCACCCCATTACCGCGCACCCCATTACCGCGCACCCCATTACCGCGCACCCCATTACCGCGCACCCCATTACCGCGCACCCCATTACCGCGCACCCCATTACCGCGCACCCCATTACCGCGCACCCCATTACCGCGCACCCCATTACCGCGCACCCCATTACCGCGCACCCCATTACCGCGCACCCCATTACCGCGCACCCCATTACCGCGCACCCCATTACCGCGCACCCCATTACCGCGCGGCACTGGCAGGCACCCTCGCTGGGCCATGGTCACTCCCTGTCCCACACGGCATGGCCATCACACCTCCTCGCATACCAACCTCCCACTGCCCACTGCCCTCTGCCCACTGCTCACCTCCAACATCCACAATGTGCTTGCCCGCCATAAAAAGATGACTTTTGAGTCGACTCAAAAGCCCACCATCCGCCCCCTCACCAACTGCAGCATCTTCTCCCCGCCACCCCATCCCACCACGCACGTGCGGTCCACCCCATCACAAGCCCCGCCACAGCAGTCTCCCCAGCACCACCCTACCTGCCAGCCCCCCCACCAGCCCTCTTGTTACATGCACGGCATCTTCGCCATGTCACACGATGGTGCTCACGCTGCACCGCACTCCCCCATTGCCAAGCCCGACCCTCAACTGGCTTTGTTCAACTCACCGTTTTGTTTATGCACGCACCTCAGCCTTCATGCAAGCTCACCATTTTGCTCTACCCGCCACCCTAGCCTAGACCTTCCCAGGCACTTCCCTTCCCAGGCACTTCCCTTCCCAGGCACTTCCCTTTCCAGGCGTCGTTCCCCCAGGGGCGTCTGTCAGACACCCACTGTTACAACTATGTTCTACCCTCCGGCACAGATTGTGTGTCAGCGCACAAACACCAACGAGCAGCATACCATCGACCTGCCATCATCATACCCTCGCCTGTGCGTGTGCATGTGCGTGTGCATGTGCGTGTGCATGTGCGTGTGCATGTGTGTGCGTGTGCGTGTGCGTGTGCGTGTGTGTGTGTGTGTGTGTGCGTGTGCGTGTGCGTGTGCATGTGCGTGCGTGTGCGAGTGCGTGTGCGTGTGCGAGTGCGTGTGCGTGTGCGAGTGCGGACCTGGGTCAAGGCTGTTGACATGCGGCATGAGCTCGTCCACCATCACAGTGCCCGCCACGTTCCTCCTCAGGCGCTGCAGCGCGGCGAGCGAGGAGAGCAGCACGGCCTGGTCGCCCTGGTACCACTCCACCATGCTCTGCCACGAGTCCGACCGCGCCGGCGCTGCCGACGTGTTGAACGGCACGTCCGCTGCTAAGAACACCGACACTTTGCTGCTCCCCCCGCTGCTGCTCTCCCCGCTGCTCTCCCCGCTGCTGCTGCTGCTACTGCTGCTACTGCTGCTGCTGCTGGTGCTGGTGGTGCTCATGCTGTCGCCGAGCATGCTGCTGTCGCTGCTGGTATCTGGGCTGGAGATCGGGGCAGCAGCCTCGGCAGCAAGAGCAGCGAGGGCGGATGCAGGGTCGGCGGCAGCGGAGGGGTGGGCGAGCAGGGCTCTGACCCGGTTGATGAGCTTCTCTGCCTCGCCCACGCACCACTCCAGCCTCTGCTGCACCATCGATGCATTCGCCTGCTGCCCTTGCGCCTGCATGTCGTCTTGCTGCATCGCACAACAGGGAGAGAGGGAGACAGGGAGAGAGGGAGAAAGGGAGAGAGGGAGGAAGGGAGGGAGGGAGAAAGGGAGAGAGGGAGAAAGGGAGGGAGGGAGAAAGGGAGAGAGGGAGGGAGGGAGGGAGAAAGGGTGAAAGGGAGAAAGGGAGAAAGGAAGAAGAAAGGAGAAAGGGTGAGTGAGAAAGGGTGAAAGGGAGAAAGGGAGAAAGGGAGAAAGGGAGAAAGGGCGAAAGGGAGAAAGGGCGAAAGGGCGAAAGGGCGAAAGGGCGAAAGGGCGAAAGGGTGAAAGGGAGAACAGGTGAAAGGGAGAAAGGGTGAGTTCGGGCCGTCTTGAATTACTTTCAACAAAAGCCATTCCCTCATACAAGCTCTCCCCCTCTGAAGGCTCTGCAATCTGCAAACGTATAACTCGTTCCCTTACGTGAAACACATTCTGGCGGGTTCCTCCTCCCCTCTCCTTTCCCAGTTACCGCTTCCCTCCATCTTCTTGCTTCCTTTGTCACACACAGCCTTTCCTCTTCCCCACTCACCACCACTCACCACTCACCATTCTGACCATCAGTAACCACGTGCTGTCCCACCTCCCGCCCCCCCCTCTCCTCTCCTCCCCCCCCCCGTCTCACCACGCGGAAGGCAATGAACTCAGAGCGGAAGTGCACGGCGATCAAGGGGCGCGGCAGCAGGGCGAGCAGGCGCGCAGCCGTGGCGTGGTGGTGGCGGCTGTAGGGCAGCAGGGGGAAGGCTGCGTCGTCCGCGTTGCTGCTGAACTCCACGCGCTCCCACGTCGTCTTGAACCACACCACGATGTCCCTGTCTTCTCTGCCATGCCATCGCCGCACGGGGATGGACAAGTGCGTGTGTAGACAAGGGGATGGACAAGGGAAAGGGAGTGAGTGTGGGAACCAGAACGGTAAGGGTAGGATGTGCGATTATGGCTCTATGTGCGCTCTTTTTAACAAGAAACTCAGCAAGGTTGGTGGTTGGGAATGATGTGAAGCCCGATGGCAGATGCCAGGGAAAGTTGTGTGTGAAGAGGTGCAGAGAAGCAACAAGATGCATCTGCGCTCGCTGTGCTTTCCACGTGTCACGTCAAACTCGAGTGGCTCAGGAGAGGCATAGATAATGGGAGAGGAGGAGGATGGGATGGGATGGGATGGGAGGGGCCGGGAGGGTAAGAGAGAGGAGGGTAGCACAAGGGCGACTGAGGGAGAATACATTCTTACAGGTGTGCACAGGAGGAAGGGAAGGCAGGCGGGTGGGCGGGCGGGCAGTCACGCAGGCAGGCAGGCAGGCAGGCAGGCAGGCAGGCAGGCAGGCAGGCAGGCAGGCAGGCAGGCAGGCAGGCGGGCGGGCGGGCAGGCAGGCGGGCGGGCGGGCGTGCAGGCGAGAGGACAGGCGGGAGGACAGGCGGGAGGACAGGCGGGCGGACAGGCGGGAGGACAGGCGGGCGGACAGGCGGGCGGACAGGCGGGAGGACAGGCGGGCGGACAGGCGGGCGGGCAGGCAGGCAGGCAGGCGGGCGGACAGGCGGGCAGGCAGGCAGGCAGGCAGGCAGGCAGGCAGGCAGGCAGGCAGGCAGGCAGGCAGGCAGGCAGGCAGGCAGGCAGGCAGGCAGGCAGGCAGGCAGGCAGGCAGGCAGGCAGGCAGGCAGGCAGGCAGGCAGGCAGGCAGGCAGGCAGGCAGGCAGGCAGGCAGGCAGGCAGGCAGACAGGCAGAGGGGCAGGCAAAGAGGCAGCACATACGAGGCATTGAGCAGTGCAGCTGCTTTCTGGCTGGTGGCGGGCATGGTGAGCTGTACGGTGTTGCCCTCCAGTGGCACGTGGCCCCCTGTGAATGGCATGAGCTGCCCCAGGAACTCCGTCACCATGTCTGTACCGCCACACACGGGGCGTCGAGGGGGGGGGCAGGTAGAGCAGGCAGAGGGAAGAGAGCGAGGAGAGGGGGAAGAGAGCGAGGAGAGGGGGAAGAGGGGGCAGAGCAGCACGGATGGACAATTGTGCGTGAGTCACGCTCACATGCAGGAACAGTGGCGCCATGCAGGTGAGAAGATGCGCATGGGCACTGAGGGGGACATGGGGCTGTAGGATTGGAAGGAGTGAGTCGGAGAGAGAGAGTGGAGCAGGAGAGAGGAGAGAGCATAGCAAGAGAGCGGACGTGCTCAACGTTTGTATTTTAACGCATGTCAACGCATGTCAACGCATGTCAACGTATGTGAACGAATGTATGTCCACACACGGACCACTTGAGCGGGGTGGAGGGAGAGGGCCATACCGTAATGGAAGACATGGCGTTGGAGGTACGGCGATTCAACCCACATAAAGCCAACAGAGGGGTTGGCGAGCGTGGCACGGGCGAGCAGCAGGAAGAACTGCGGCGACACCCAGTCGGACGCTTCTGCAAGGCGGGAGAGGTCCCAGTACTGGCACACGGGCAGGTCCCGCCCCAGCGATACATGGCTGCGACTCGCCTGCATGCACGTGGCATGGTGCAGGGCATTCGGTGTGACGTGTGATGTGATGTGATGTGATGTGATGTGATGTGATGTGATGTGATGTGATGTGATGTGCCTTAAGGAAATGCATGAGCAGGGTTGAGCCAGCAGCAGCATGGCTTGTCTACACCGGGCAGGCTCGTCCCAAACTGGAATTTCAATAAGCTTCCATCACAAGTTAGTGCTGAGATCACATCACAGCCGTCGAATTGAGGGACAGGAGAGGTGAACTTATTTGAAGGGGTGAGGCACAGGAGAGCGTGTCAGCAAGGCTAGGGTGTAACATTCCATGGGGCGTGATACGGGGATGTGATACGGTATAGAGTGTGATAGGGGTTGTGGTATGGGGTGTGTAAAGGTGAGTGTGACATGGGGTGTGCTACGGGGTTGTGCTATGGTGGGTGTGATATGGGTTGCGCTATTTGGTGTGCTATGCAATGTGATATGTGTGTGAGCGCGAGCTGTGGTGGGGAGGCACCTTGGGCAGCACGAGGACGCGGTTGGTCATGCGGGCGAGCAGAGCGGCCTCCACGATGTGCGTGCGCGCATTGCTCAGCTGCTCCTCCGACATGGCGAACACCAGGTAATTGCGCCGGGGGAAGTCCTGATGGGGAGCACAACATGCAAGGAGAAGCCAAGGGGAGCAAGCAGGTGTGGACGCAAGGAGAGTTTCTCACGGCTGTCACACAGCATCGCCTAATGTCACAGAGGGCTCATCCAGGCGTTTCTGAGGGCGCGTGAGGGGTTCTCTAGGCGAACGGCAGGCAAAGAGGTGGTAGGTAGCGGGGGCGCGCAAGGGACGAGGGCCGAGGGTGGGTTGCACGGAAGTGCGCTTGGTGGAGGGAGGGAGGAGACACAGAGAGCCAACGGTGGTGCATGCAGAGTGTGGCGGTCATTGCAAGCCCAGCAGCATGGCATGGCATGGCATGGCATGGAATGGCATGGCATGGCATGGCATGGCATGGCATGGCATGGAATGGCATGGCATGGCATGGCATGGCATGGCATGGCATGGCATGGCATGGCATGGCATGGCATGGCATGGCATGGCATGGCATGGCATGGCATGGCATGGCATGGCATGGAATGGAATGGCAAGGCATGGCATGGCATGGCATGGCATGGCATGGCATGGGGGTTCACGTGGGGCGCGCATGCATGCATACAGCGAGAGAGGCGAACGGCATGTGGGGAACGGCCCAGCACTCCTCGGGCCAGTCGCCACATGCTGACGTGGCAACTCTGCTGTTGTTCAGCAGCGACGCCTCCACGTGCCTGCTTCGCCCGCACACGGCGTCAATACCCGCGCCGATGCGCGCCACGCTCGTCTCATTCTCCGCCAGCAGCCGCCGGATGTACTTGCTGCTGCGCACCCGCCGTAACACGCCCCGCTTCCACGCCTCCGTGCAGATCTGCCCCACGCCCGCGCCCTGCTGCTTCTCCACTTCCTCCTCTGGCAACGGGTCAGCTTCTAACGAGTCTAATCTATCGCCCGAATCTGCTCCTTGCCCCCGGACAGACGCGAAGCTGTCAGCTTGTGATTGTCTTAACAATGTCCTCGATGCAACCGAGTTGGCGCCGCAGCTTGTTGCCACGGCGCCGCTGCTGCACCTGCTTCTTAACTCCCGCGCCCGCGCCAACTGGGCCCACCGCCGCAGCGCGTGGCACAGCTTGGCACGACAACTGGGCCTTGAATCGCGTTGAAAGAACCCGAAACGTGGAAAGAAGGACGACTTGAACTCATCGGCGCGGTCGCGAAGCGCGTCGACGCACGAGCTGGAGAACTGAAACAGGGTGCTCTCGTTGCCCACGAATGCCAAATACGGCTCGCGACGGCTCTTCAAATAACTCCGCGAGAACTCGGCGATTGCGCGATGCGGCTGGTTGACGAAGTCCGGGAAGCGCGCGTGGAAGAGCACCTCCCACGCGAGGATGACTGCCACGGCGAACACTATTGGCGTTCTCCGCATCAAGTGCCTTGACGGCCGACGCTTGCGCGGGCTCTTGCTATTCGTCATGCTGTGAACTGCATCCAACCTCGACTAGGCCTGCTCCCCTCTCGCCGCCTTCTCCGCCCCTGTACCCATCATAACTAACGCTCGGCTTCTCGCAAGTGTATAGTGGGTTCGAAATAGAAAGGGACGAGCTAGGGGAGCTAGTCACGAGAACCAGGTGACACGGTGATGAGCGATGTGCATTGAATTTGGGGATAGATGGGCGGGACGGTGTCAAAGTATTTCACTGGCTTGTGTGAGAGGTTCGATCTGCCGAGCCTCCAGTTCACGTCGTCGTCACCTCGTTTTTTGCCTCTGAGGTTTGGCCGAGGCTAGTTAGGGCTCCGGTCAGACCTCTGATGAGGCGGGGAAGACCTGAACTGGAGGCTCGGAAAACCGAAGGTTCACCGAAAAAAGAGGTCGGAAGACTTGATGTAGACCTGCCCGTTGAGGTTTCCAAGAAGTTGTTTCCCAACTTTTCTTTCAAATATGGGTTTCTAGGGCAGCCCAGCCACATGCAGTCCTGATTGCGACCAAGCCACTTTCAAGTAAATCTCAGGCAACTAGTCACACCGTTAGTCCACCGCGTCGCTCTGGGCTGGTGCAAGAGCCAAGGCTAGCAGAGGAGCGCTACCCCACCACCCGAATCTAGATATTCGACCCACAACCATTGTGATGGCAGGAAAATGGTAAAGGAGTAAAAAAAAGTGATGGTCAACTATACAAGGGAAGCTAGAATTAGAACAACCAAGAGCAAACTTGGGGATTAGGGCAAAATGCAACACGCCCTTCTATTATAGGGGCAAATGACATTGAATCGCCCATCTAGTGGGAATTTCCCGCGTTGTCCCTTGAATCATCCGACAGGTACTCGGAAAATCGGCGGAGGTTCGAGGGCGCACACCAAACCTGATTTTTGGCTGGGTGATCATTTGCGGTGTCAGGTGTTCGGCATGGATCCCAGCACAATTGGTTCCCCTATTCGAGGCCAATCAATTGTGAGACATGGTCGGATCTGCAAGACAATGTACAGTGCATAGCCTGTTACACCAACGGTAACCTGGAAACGGTAACTTGAAACCACCCACATTGTCAATTTCAAGCCTTCGCCGATCGATGCGCTTTTCCATGTCCCAAGATTCGGGTGCTCGCTCGCTAGTGCCCGTGCCACCAAAACATGGTCGTCGTCACATCCGCAAACCACCGGGTTCAGCATTTCCCCTCCGCTCATGCCATCGCGCCACCGCCAACCTCACAGATGACTCCATTGCGGCAACCCCGCACGCGGCGGCGGCAGCAGGGACTGTATCCCGCCACTCTGTCAGTCGTCTCACTCGTAGCAGCCACGTGGCTTTTCCTCTTCGCGACTCGATCAGCTTCTGTAAGGCTCACCCATAGTAGCACTCGCGAGCATTTAAGAACCACTGGTGTCTTACAATCACCCCGTGGCTATCATGAGTATTAGATAAGCATCACACTTTCCAGAACGCGGATTCTCGTGCGGCTCTAGCCAAGACCTGAAGCATCACAGATGGGAGGCAGACTGGGCCTCCCGCACCTGCTGGGTTTCAAGTATTTTCTCGCGGCGAGCCGAACGTCTTCCAAACCTTGAATTTTCGTCACAGAGTGCAATTCCGGTTTTGATCTACGGTTGTGCGGTGCAGATTTTCACAACAGCAAGAGCATCCGCTTTCCCGAGAAACAAATGTAACCTCCTCGCCCTCACTTTTCCCCCCTCTCTCCCCCCGCTCTCCCCGGCGACATTCCGCACCGCATTGTACCGAACCGTCCGACGTGCCCCCCCCAGAGCGATGACCGACCGCCGTCGTTGGATTGGGACTTCTCCCGCGCATCGTCCGCCGAGTCCGCCCTCTGCGGCTCCTGGCCCGCCGACTACGCCGCGCGCCACAGCGCCATCCGCCAGGCCAGCGCAGCCGCGCACGCGGAGCTCGTCAAGCGGAGCAGGAAGAGCGGAGTCCTCGGGTGGTTCGCCCCCTCGCCCCCCCCGCGCCCGTACGACCCCGCCGTTCGCTTCCTGACGTTCGAATGGCTGGACGGGTGCGGCGGGTACGGCGACGCGCTCAACGGGCTGATGCTCGCGTTCGTCACGGCCGTGCTTGACGGCCGCGCGCTTATTATCCGCCACGACTGCCTGCCGGCCGCGTTCCTGCCGGCCATGATCGACTGGCGGCTGACGGACGACGTGCCGCTGGAGCCAGCGAGAGTCGTCACCGCGCCCAGCTACAACTGGGACGGCGTCGTGAGCGCCGCGCGCCCCGAGCCGCCGGCGGAGGCGGGGGAGGTGGTGCGCGTGGACATGCGGAACTCGCGCGTGGAGCTAGAGACGTATTTTAAGGACCTGGAGAACGCTACCAACATCCGGTTGTCGGCGAACCTGGGCGCGCTGACGCACCTGGCCACCAAGGCCACGGGCGCGTGGGCAGAGCGGTTCAAAGCGCTTGGCATTCGCCTGCCGTACGCCGTAGGGTGCTTCCTCAGATTCCTCCTGCGGTGAGCCTCGTGTGGCACGGGACGAGGGGGGGCGTGTTGGCGCATGGGGGGAATGTGGGCGGATGGGGGGAATGTGGGCGGATGGGGGGAATGTGGGCGGATGGGGGGAATGTGGGCGGATGGGGGGAATGTGGGCGGATTGGGGGAATGTGGACGGATGTGCAGCAGGGGAACGGGACATGCGGTACCCTGTGGTACAGCGAAACCCATTGTTTCACAGTAAAGGCAGAGTCTTCTTGCATCTCCTGGCTTTCCCTCCCACCAATCCCATCCCTTGCCACCCCCCACGTGCGTGCCACCTCCCACGTGCATGGCACCCCCCACATGCATGCCACACCACGGTGCACGTTGCATGGGTGCAGTCCACGTGACGAGGTGAGGGAGCTGTTCCACAGCACCATGCAGCAGCTCAGAGCACACCCGGGGGGAGCACGCGGCAGCAGCAAAGAGAGGCAGCAGCGGGGGCGCATAGCGACGGTGGGCATTCACATCCGCGTGCAGGACGAGGTGGTGTGGGCGGGTGACAGAGGCGCGCCCAAGGAGCTGTCTCAGCAGCAGATGGACGCGCTGCTGGCGGACGCCAAGCACTGGCTCCTCTGCGCTCAGGTGCGCGCGCGGAGAGCGGAGAGAATGCGGTGATAGCCGTCGGTGCGAGGACGGATGGGTGGGGGTGGAGGGGTGGAGGGATGGATGGTCATGCATGAATGGGTGGATGTGCGATGCGATGATGGGGTGCTGTGTAAATGTGTAAATGTGTGCTGTGTAAATGTGTGTGCACATGGAGTTGTGAATGGTGGTGTGGCGCCATGTGATGAGGATTCTGGCACTGCCCATGGCAGCCCTGCCCGTGTGGTACGCATCACCCCGCAACTGGATTGTGCTCTTGCATTCCACGTTTTTCACCCACTTCCCCCATCAGCAATTTCAGCTTCTCACATTATGACAAGTGCACTCCCTTCTCAGACTCACTCCCTTGCTCACATCTCCAGTGGCCCATCAAGCAGTGCCTACTCCTGCTTCCACTCATCACTCCCCACTTCCTCCTCTCCCGCTTTCCTGGCCCTGTGTCCCTATGGTGGGCCAACAGCGCGTGGAGGGGTACTGGTTCCCATCATCCCTGGCAGTGCGATGGATGATAATCACCAACTCAGCGCAGCTCAAGGCGGCCATTAAATCCAGATACCCTGACAAGGTGCGTGCGTGTTGTGTGCGCGTGTGTGTGCGTGTGTGCCCGGGTGCATGCGTGTGTTGAGTGTATGTGTGTGGGTGTGCTTGCATGTATGTGTTTGGGATTCTTTGTGTATGTGCCTATGCATCCATGTGTCTTATGGGTCCGGCTATGTTTCGCATGCATGTGCCTTTTGTGCCCAGAGTATGTGTGCATGCGTGTGTGTGCGTGTCTGAACTAACTGCGCCCTCCTCCACTCCCACCACATCCCACTCCGAAGGAGCACTGTCCATGTCCTCTCCACAAATAAACGTATTATTGAGTAGAACACATTATGCTATAGCACAGCTCATTCCTCACTGCCCCACAGCCTCACTGCCTCACTGCATCGTTATGGGGTAGGATTGATGAGGTCGTACACGTCCCCCTTGCTGCACTGCTGGATGCAGCACAAAGGATATTGCTGCTTCTGCTTCTGCGTCTGCCGCTGCTGCTGCGGCTGCTGCTGCTGCTGCAGCCACAGCACCTGCCGCTGCCACTGCGGTAGTTGGAGAGGAACACACAGCAGGCATTCGCGTTAAATCGCCACGAACGTACACCTCACTTGCATACATGTACATAGCGGGTACTTGCATTTCCGATCGCATGATGCCTCCCAGACCCTGGTTGCAACTTCCAGGTTTCTGAGTCCCTTGTTACCAGACCAACCCTTCGAGTAGAGATTGACAAGTTTTCAGGGGAGGTGGTCCCAGAACGATCTGATCTCTGAATCTCAAAAGCAAGCAGCTGATGTGTTTCTCCTGGCACATGCTCGTATCGTTTCGCTTGCGCTGCCTAGCTTTGTCATGTGGCATGGTGGGGCAACCCAGCAGGAAGGCCGAATGGGGGGCTGTAGAGTAGTGTAGAAGAGCGTCCTCAATGCTGCCATGCCATATGATGAAATCCAATGTGTGACCTCCATATGGTGTTGCTCCGTGCATGCAGGTCGTCACTACAGAGTTTGTCCCACGGCATTCCAACGGCCTTGCGTCAGGGAAGCAAAAGGGATTGCTCAGCATGATAGGCAGCAAGAATGATGAGGAAAGGAAGTTTCAGGAGCTAGTCACAGAGTGGCTGCTCCTAGCGGCCTGTGATGCATACGTGATTTCTAGATCGGGGTACTCGCACACGGCTGTGTTTTACTCCATGCGGACGCTTGCCATCTTTGAGTATGACAGGTGTGACCCGGAGCAACCAACCGAGGCAACGTACATGGGAGAAGATTGGAGTGGGATTTAGTGAGTTGGTGGGGCTCATGGGAGGCGTCAGATTTGTCAAACTATATATGTGTTAGTTCTGTGTAGGCTATAGTGGGGTAGTCCATATGGGGTACAATCCAAATTTAGGGTTAGTACTTGTGTTGGAATAACCGAAAGGTTATTATAAGCATTCCCGAAGGTATTCCACAAAAGCATCAGCTGTTAGCAGAGCAGGGCACTGTACCCAGGGCTGACGTTTCATATTAGGCCCCCCTGATTCCGGGGAAAATTTTTCCCCTCGATTATGAGTGCACATTTTTCAGAATGATGCTACCCTGACTGCTCAGGGTTGAAAAGTATATAACTCTGATTGTTCAGGGTCGAAAATCGAAGTTCAGAGTCGTAACGCGCTCTTTATTACAGGGGAAAAGTACTGCTCTGCGTAAAGTGCGCTCTGTGTTTCGCGCACACTTTGAGCGCGCTAGTCTCCAACCGTTTAGTTTTACACAAGAGTATTTATCCATACGTTTAAGTGCGGGGAATAGATGAGCGATTTTGGTCAACAAAACATTTCGATTCAATACCAAATATGTGCCAAATTTTGAATTCGCCGAGTACCTACATGTCCTCAATATCGCTGTACGAAACGCAAAAAAGTGCTAGTAACTTCACGCCCACGCAATTACGACAGTGCAACAACTACTTCGCACTTTGTGAAATTAACAAACATCGAGTGTATTTGCCTGTCAGACAGGTGCTGTCCGTCGCTCGCGCGCTGGCTGTACTGCAATCAATTCGAAGGGGGATAATCGGAACGAAACTTCCGAGAAACTTCTTGCCGATAGGTCAGAGTCCACAGAACGCGTACTCTACATTGACAGAGTCAGTAAGAACACTACTCTGAGCCTAGATACAATATTTCAGGGTTCGCTAAAGCACTATTCTGAATGGATCAGTGTTCACAAGTCAGAAATTCTGAAATTGCAGGGACCACCAGGTGAGAAGCCTGTAATCACCCTGAAATCAGGGTAATTACCCTGATAAAATCAGCCCTGACTGTACCAGTACCGCAATAGCTCATATAGAGCATGCGGAAGGTCGAGGGTCACCCGAAGATCAACCGAAGAGGGTAGTCAACGGTCGTGACCCTTGACCACCCAGTAACCGCGCGACAGTTGTTCGCTGCAACATGGTAACTGTCGAGCATGGCAATTGTAAGGAAAAACCCTTTTCCTTACTGGGGTTTACTCAACCGCGTACAACCCCAACTTTCGGAAGTGCACGTTCGGCCACTTTGCTTGCTGCCTAAGCAACCTCGCGTCGCCTGCAGCTTTTCCTTTGCCCAACCTGCACCCAACCTCGTGTTCCCGAGGTTCCCGCCTAGTTAGGTTGACCCACTATACCGTATTATCGCGTGCCTTTCATTGTATCGTCAGTTCATTGAGTCACAGCCTCGTTATTCGTTATTCTGCGCACTCTGTTTGACAACTCATAACACCTGGTATCAGAGCTACTTTCCTAGTTCACCCCGCTTTTCGAGGGTAGTTTGGTGGCACGGGCGTGGCTGGTATAGTGGACTATACGACGGTTGGCTGCAAGGTTTGTTAATTCAATCCTGCCCGACTCCGATAGTTCGTGTTTTTCACCCACCGGAAGGTCATGGATACCCCTCTCCTCACCAGATGAAGCGTGCGACTCATGGACCAGGAGACATTGAACAAGATGCTGGCACAAATGGCAGAGCTACGGGCAACAGTGCAAACACTATCGACAGAGGTGACAACATTACGAGGAGAAAACGCCGAGCTACGCCAGGCGCGAGGTGAAGCGCGTCAAGAGTCGCCCGACGATGAAGGCGAGGGCAACAGTCAGGCGGTGAGCAATCCGTTGGATGCGCTCACACGTGACTTCGAAGAAGAAGATAGGCAGCGAACGGCAGCGATGCCAATTGCAGTAACGACGATCAAGATTAGACCCGTCAACCCGCCCCCGTTCAACCCTATGGGCAAGACTACTACAGTGAAGGGGTGGCTTTTCGGCGTTGAAGTCTTCTTCACTGCAGCAGGCGTGAACGACGATGCCACACGTATTAATTACCGTAATCCCCCGTATATAGGACCCCCCCCAGTTGTAGACCCCCGGGTCTATAATACGGACCCGGCTACTCTATTCAAGTACATCTGATTTATACCCCCCTAAATGGCTCCTAACATTATAAGACCTCCCCCACATCCTAGAGAAGTGCGGATTTTACGAAAATGCAAGTGAAAATGGTCATATTCCATGTTGACGTAGAGAAATCACACCCATGAACGCACATGCACACCCATGTGCAGCCCGCACGAAGCGTGCATGGGGTGTGAAGGCCGAGGCGACACTGCGCGCTGGGCCATCAAACGGTGCCCTGCGCTGTCGTGTGAACACCAAGTGGTGTTGGTGGCCAATGGGAGGAGGCTCCCAGATAGGGTTCGTGATGACGTGGGTTCGGCCCGTGTGGAGACCAATTCGAGTATTTTTGAGAGGAGCTAAAAACGGAGCAATTACAAATGACTTCTTTGAGCTCCAAATCTACATTCTTATAAATGTCAAAATGA